TCCATATAAATATATATATATCTTAGTTTGTATGGAACCAAAAAACAAAAACAACAAAAAAACGTTTATTCATCAGAAGAAGGAAAAAGTGAAAAATGATTAACATTTTATTTTAGTGATAGATCATCATTTTCATTCTAGATCCACATTCCCACGAGTGTACATGCAACCACATATATACTCTCCTACACACTGACACACTCAAAAGAGAATTGTCCTTTTTCTCCTAAGCGATAATATGACAAGATTAGAGTGATTATTTCATTAAAAAAAGAAAATCTAATGTATTTTTTCTGAAAATGGATTATTAAAACAAAAATAATTGATATTACATGACAACAATTTACTACAACTATCATCGTCTTCATCGGTAAGCAACTTTAAATCATTTTCAATGGTTCATTTAATAGTAACTAAAGAATATATTTTTTTCTTCTTAAAGTTTGTTGTTGATATGATTATTTTCAGTAAAAGACTAATAACATGAAGTTATTTTTTGATAGATAGTTATTGTATTCATTTAATCCGAACTTTTGATTTAGAATACTATATAAGAATTTTTGATAGATGCAATTGCTATCTTGTTTATGTATATTAAATGATTCAATGTACATTCATCATTACTCTTCTCTCTCTTCTTTTTTTTTTTTATCAATTTTTTTTTTTTTGTTGTCTATATATTACTAGTCACGTACTATCGATATATAATATTATACATATGACTCTTTGAGAGAGAATGAGAGGTAATTGCGGTATAAAGTCGACGAACATTATTTTTAATGTTTCTCTGCTATCTGCTGTTTGTTGTTTTTATTATTAAGTAGATATAACTTAACAAATCAGATTTTTCTTGTCTTCCCGACACATTCTTCAATTTATTCACATTGACTCATATCGAGACTGTGTGTGTGTGTGTGTATGAAAAAAATAGAAGAAATAATAATATCCAATGCTGATAAAAGAAAGAAAAATTATATTCTCATAGAATAACAATATATAGTCTAACTGATTTTATTCTTTTATTTTTTTATTTTTTTATTTTTTGAAAAAATACCGACGTAGTTGTTCTTTTGTTTTGTTTTTTTTTTGACTTAAAATGGTTTGGTATCAGCAGCAACATTATTCATCGTACGATTGTATGCAACAAATGATAACACCATCGTCGACATTTCATTATGAAAATATTCAAAATGAATATCTACATCATACGATGAATACAATGCAACGACGATGGCCGAATTGGTAAAATGAAAAAAAGACGATTTGCGTATTTTTTATTTGTAAAAATGATTCCACTAAAATCATAAACTATTCTAATAGTGTTTCAAATCTATTTCTTTCATTCATGAGAATTGTCTTTCAGAATTTTTAGTTATCATAGAAAAATTCGATCTACCATGTAAGAAAACTGTGACAGATTAACCGATTCATTTGAATCGTATTACTATATTAGACGTATATTGGCCATGTTGACCATTTCTTGTGAGAAATAATTCTTGTATACGTTTTACTATATCAGACGAGAAACTATTTAAAATTTTGCTTACCAACGAAATTGGTATCCATTCAATGATGTTGTCTAGAATGTAGAGTATCACTGATCAAAAAGATTTATGATATTTATAGTGAGAATTAAAGAACAACTATACTTGTAGGAATTCTATGAAAAATAATATGAAATATCTGCATAGAAATAGTGGATTATTGTTTTTCTTAGTCAAATATATTGTATATAGTGAGTACTACTAACTCGTACACAAAATACTATTATCTATGTACTGGATGATTTGTTAATTCATCGTATAGTTACATTTCTTAGAGTTCATCTAGTTTTCTTAAATTAATTTCACAAGAGGATATCCGTTTAATAAATTTATTTTCAAAAAGGATATAGAGTGATTTGAATTGTCAAATTTTCAAAAATTCATTATTTCTTATTTTATGTTTTTATTTTTATTTTATACACTTTTCTTTTGACTATTTAGACGAAGAAAACATTAACTAAGAATAGTGTTTTTTGACTATTTAAAAAGTGTGACAACAAATATGATTAAGTCGCAATGAGATATAAAAAAAAAGAAGAAATATGTCATATTTATTATCTTGTGTCTATCAGTATACAGACAAGGCGGAGTACCCTATGGAGTAAATTAGTGCGAAAGACAGACAAACCAATTAAATAAAATATTATTAACCTTACACACATATATACATATAGAATTAGAATATATCACACATCGGATTCTTCTCTTTTTCTCTCACTCTTTCTCTCTCTGTTCTTTTCTTCCCGAAGAAAAATATACAAGTGAAATCTAGTAGAAACAAAGAAGAAGGAAATTGAAATTGTATATTTATGCAGATTTACTTTTCCATAGCATATGAATATTTCTGTAACATTTTGATGATAAAATGTTAACTTAAACAATATAAATATATTGAATGAAAAGATGGAATCATTTTGTGCAGAATCTGTGCTAACACCATCTAATGTAGAAGAAAATAATTCGACTGCCATGATTTTGTATGAAATTTGTATGCCAACAAACTTTTCACTTAAAACAGCGATTACGTTTGATGGATTTATTTTTGGGTAAGTGAATGAAGTTCTAAACCATGAACATCAATACATACAGATAATATACAGGAGCCAACATCAGTGGGTATGATGGGGAAAATAAAGCAGCTTAAGGACAAGTTTTAGGAACTTGACTGAGTAAATTTGAGAACAGAATAGAAATCGTTTTCTACATTGTTTCATGTTATGTGAGAGTAAACTCTTTTTCTAAATCATCGGCTGGTTAAAGTTTTTAACAAGTCCACAATAATATGAATATGAACGAGAGAGAGAGAGAGAGAACGAAATCGGAAAGCATGATACTGTATGCCTCTTTATACTCTATTAGTCACTACGAGACTATTCATCACTGAACTTCGTTTTTGAAAACGAACAACTGTGGTGTTTTCCTGTCATATTCTTACATCTGCTTTTGAATTCCGGCAGATATTTTTTAATAGTACGTTTTATTAAAATATTATAAGAAGAAATTCTTATTGCAAACAAAGAGGGCAACACAATCATGAACCTTTTTGTTCGTTAGAAGTATTGATGAATCTATCTTAAATTAAACTCTACACAAGTTCTATATACTAGATTTCTGTTAAATATGATAGATCAAAAGGTATTTTGACAGTTGACAATGCGATTAGCATAGATAGATGTTTGAGATTTTTTTAAGTATCAATTGTATTTGATACAACACATTTTACATGTCACTGGTTTTTGTCGTTACACAATATATGTTTTTTTCTTCTGTTCGGGAAGACATTATTAGATTTGCCATTCTTTATCTTTTCTCAATAATTGATTGGAGAATAATGTACGATAAAATAAATATATGCCAATAGTAAATTGAGAGTTGTTTCTGACCTTGAAAACATTTTGAAATATATTTTTTATTATTTATTTAGTATTGATGATAGAAAAGCAAAATCTCGCGTGGCTGCTAAACATCGTCGTAGTGCTGAAAATAAAGAATTTACTGATTTATCCAAACTATTACCATTACAACAGCAAATAGCAGCACAACTAGACAAAGCATCAATTATAAGACTGACAATTAGTTATTTAAGATTACATTCATTTTGCCAAAAAGGTGATCCACCTTGGCCGTCAACAGCAACAGATACTAATTATTCATTAAGTATGTTCTTATAGTTTATATAACTGTCATGAAACGATTGGATAAGCTGCACATGAAATACTACTTCGCTACAACTGGTACTCTTTCTAAAGTGTGACAAATCATAACGGGTGGGCCAGAAGTCCTGACCCGATTTGAATAATAAATTTTTCTATAGTGAAACAAGTGGTTGTAAATTTGTCTCTATGAAGAAAAGATGCAGTAAAAAACGCTTTACAAAATGACTATTGATTGACCCCGTTAGCTCATCCAGTAAGAAAGTTATAGACTTAGAAATGTGCTTCACAACAAAGAAAAATCAACCGTGAACCTGGTCTATATGGTGGTGCTTTCAGTAAAAGTTCCATAACATCATCAAAACAAAAGGTTTTTCGATCGAGTTTGTTTTGTTTTGATCAGAAATGAGCTGCAACATCAAAACTTCGATCACGTTTTCCGTTTCTTGCTGGGTACACTGTCGGAAACGCGGTTGTCAATTTTTGACATATTTTTGAAACGTGATCCTTGAGCACACCATCTGCTCTAAAAAAATTTTTTACAAACTACAAGAAAGAGCACATTTGAAAGTACCCAATACAAACTGAGTTCTCGCTTTTGCTTCGCTTTGTTTTAACTAAAATAATAGGAGAAGAAAAAGTTCAAGTAAAAAACAACAAATTTACAAAGTTTTCATTTTTTTCATTTTTTTCGAAGTTTTGATGTTGCAGCTAGGTAGAGAAGAGCAATCATTTCTGATCAAAACAAAACAAACTCGATCGAAAAACCTTTTGTTTTGATGATGTTATGGAACTTTTACTGAAAGCACCACCATATAGACCAGGTTCACGGCTGCTAAACATCGTCGTAGTGCTGGAAATAAAGAATTTACTGATTTATCCAAACTATTACCATTACAACAGCAAATAGCAGCACAACTAGACAAAGCATCAATTATAAGACTGACAATTAGTTATTTAAGATTACATTCATGATTTTTCTTTTTTGTGAAGCCCATTTCTAAGTCTATACCTTTCTTACTAGATGAGCTAACGGGGTCAATCAATAGTCATTTCGTAAAGCGTTTTTTACTGCATCTTTTCTTCACAGAGACAAATTTACAACCACTTGTTTCACTATAGAAAAATTTATTATTCAAATCGGATCAGGACTTCTGGCCCACCCTTTATAAAAGTATCCCTCTTATTTTTTACTTGCTATTATTTATGTGACAATCAGACTATCTTAAATAATTGATTTTATATATCACTTCTTTAGTTTCATCAAGAAAACGTATTTTAAGTGTATTGGGTACCGATGAAGGATGTCAATTATTACAGGTTAGTTGTACAGAACGGAATGAGGAAAGTAGTTTTAAAATTCGATACTCTCTGCTTAAGTCATTGGATGGTTTTATGTTTATTTTGGCTGCTGATGGAAGAATACTATACATATCTGAATCTGTTTCCAGTAGTCTCGGTTTATCTATGGTAAAAAATCTCAGCATATTCCAGTTGGTATATTTCTGTAATCGTCTTCTGTATATATTTAGGTTGAAATGACTGGAAATCTTGTGTTTAATTACGTACACGAAGATGACAAAAAAGTGTTTGCGGATAACTTGGGTAAATTATATTTCTAATATTCTTTTCAAAATATCTTTTTACAAAAGCACTCTGATATTTTTCTCGATACATTGAAATCTGTTATATTTTAAAATGGATAATAGTTATTAATTCATCATTGTGTACAAATAGTTTTTATATTTTAAAGGTTTTGAAGTTTTACCTCCAGACTCACCCATCGCAAATGTTGAATCAGATGATCAAGAATCAATTGGAGTTTTAGGTAAGACTGATAAAATCAATCGTTTGTCTTCAATAAGAAGGAAAACGAGATTATGCATGCATTATAACTGATCAGAGAATAAATTTTCTTTTGTACATACTCGTAACTAATATCTGACGTCTTCTAGCAGAACAATATCCAAAAATGCAAGCCTCTGGAGATAAAAAATTTCTGAAAAAGTCATTTTGTATACGAATGAAATCCAATTTAACCAAACGTGCACCAAACATGAAAACAGCTGGATATCGAGTTAGTATATACTTATCTATCTTATAATATAATGAGATATTCTTTATTTTTGTTAATAGTCCGTACAAATTGTTGGTGAATATCGATGGCTTCATCCAAGTTATCGAAAATCCGATATCACTGATACAAATCATATCATTGGTTTTGTTGGTGCTGCTTTGATACCTTGTTTAAGTCCATCATTAAATGAATTTACAATTCCCGAACATCAACATGTGATAAAATTGAGTCATACAATGCATATTATGCATATTGATGAAAAGTATGTTCATGCATAAAACATATTTCTCTTACTAAAATCTGTATTTATTTTAGGCTACAAAGAATTTTAAACTGGGATATTACATCACAATATCATCATCTCTCGTTTTATTTATATGTACATCAAAATGATTTGTTAACATTGACTAACGCTAATAGAGAATGTAAGTATTATATCCAACATCTTCGCTCATAGGAGAAGCTATGAGTAAATGAGAATTAAAGATGAAAATTTTCAAATAAGTTGGTTCAGATAGTTTCTAATGTGTCGGATCACTGCCATTATCAAGACCCAATAACTTTCGCAGGGGAAAAAAATTCCATAGTCTCTTTTAGTGTTAACTCGTCAACAATTAGTTTTAAATTTAATTCGTCTTCAAACAAATATTATGGGCCATGGGAACTATAAAAATCATATCGTTGGTCAACAGTGGATATGGTGTGATATTTTAGCAACATTAATGACAACGAAAACGACAGATGAAAATTTCATTATTTTGGTAATAGAAATACTTGGGTAAGATACTAACTTATCGTCTCACACCACCCACGCATTGAGAAATTTGGGAGAAAGTCTAAATACTGTAGTCGAAATTTTTAAATCAAGTAGTCTTCTAGTATAAGATTGAATAGTCCTCGTTTCTTTTAGACTTGATGAAGGCCTGACGATACAACCAGTTGACGAATCAGCAGAGAACGGTAAGATAATCATAGAAAGTAAACTAGCATAGTATCTTCATGAATGTTGTACTACTATGTTTTAGACTATGTGAAACGTATTTGTCGATCTACATCATCAACGTCTATTGATTCTGAAAATACACGATTATCATCCAGTTTTGGTAATCAGAAGCCCATGGTCGAACATATATCGTCAAATAACTATGATACAACTTATCTACCGTCATCATCTGCAAACAGTTCATATTTTCCTAACCCAATCACTCGTCATACGTCAACGTCGAGTTCAAATTCGAGTTCACCACCGGTGCCAACACTGTCTTTGTCTCAAAATGATTTACAATTACCATTACCAGTAACGATAAAACAAACACGTCCATCAGTAATCACTAAACGTAGTGCTAATCGTCATTCATCTCTCATCAATGAGCTAAGACCGTATCACAAGCAACAGTATGAAAATGACATTATGCACAGTAATTATTTTCTTGAAGCAAATAATTCGAGTTATTTTCCGTCGAACGACTTTCATCAGCAACAACATTATCGTCATCATTGTCAATATGAATTATCACATGATCAACTATGGTACAATGGCAATAGCGTGGGACATGATCAGTATAATAATATATATTCGCAGAATGAACAACAACAACTAAATTACACATTCGATTATATGAACTCATAAATCAGTACGTGCTCAAAATTCAAGTTATTTTAAAATAATACCGTCCCCGTGGTACATGAATATTTTTCTTTTGTGTTCTATAATCTAGAGTGTTATGGCAGCTCAGTGATTATTTGTTTGGGATGCTTTTCGATGTTTTTAGTATGAACAGTCATATACATATCTCTCCTATTTTATTGTCTTTTTTTCTGTTTAAACTTTTACTTTCGGCTTTGTTTCTAGTGTACTTTTAACTTTTTCAAAGAGTAACCTGTTCACATGACACTCATAAGCTTTCAAAATGAATGGAAAAACGAAGAATTTTAGCAGACGAGACTCTCGTGAGTAATCTCATGGGATAATCATAAAAGTCTCAAGGGAAAAAATTTATTTAATCCCATGGTAGGACCAATAAAATACCGTCTACGAAAGACATTTACTGTTTTGTTTTAAGAGATCTCTGGTTTTTTTTATTTTTTAGTAAATACCTATAGCTAGGAGTTGACAGTGCCCGATTTTCGAATTTCGTATTTACTGATTTCTGGTGCTTAATAGAACTTTAAAACCCGAAAAATCCTTGGAAGGTTTCTTAGAAATCCTCATTTCTATAAAAAATGGAAGTATAATTTAAAAATCAGACTCTGTCAGGTCCTAGCTATAAGTGTTATCTACAAATCAAAAAAACAATTATCTTTCTCCGATGTATCGTTACTAAGAATTCCTCTGCCCATAGCGACTGCTCTGAAGCAAAAAACAAAGTCTTGAGAAAAACGCAAAATAAGTTTTGATTATGTTAAATGCGTTTGACTTAAAAACTATTTAAGCGCTAAATAATTTGCTGATAGTTTTCTAGAGGTTATTGGTGATGATGGAATCTAATGGACATGTACGGCACATGCATGCGCATATGCAAACAGAGTTATCTTTAAAAAAGTTACATTTTTTGTTATAGATTCTGTAAAACTCGTCAAAAACCTATCCTGCCTGCCGACACAAAAAATATGCCATTAGAAAGCAAACACTTTGGGCCATCCAATCATGTGCTTTTCTCAAAATCGATATTTTTGACGAAATTTTCAAATTACACATTGATAGTAGAGATTTATGGATAAAATTTATTGTACGAACATATTATCAGAACAAAAATAATAAAGCTGGTTTTGGGTTGCTGAAAAGTGCTTTTTCGTATTCGGCACACTTTATAACCCAGAAGATTTTCTATTTCTGGCGAAGGGTACTTCCAAAAGTTTAGGAAAAATTTGGAAACAAAATGGTGCAAAAAAATTTGCACGGGAAAATATTATATTAGTTTGAAAATTTTTCCTAAACTTTTGGAAGTACCCTTCGCCAGAAATAGAAAATCTTCTGGGTTATAAAGTGTGCTGAATACGAAAAACCACTTTTCGCAAATCAAAACCTATTCTTTTTCCGGTGAGATGCTGCTGAGTTTTGACGGTTCTTTTTTTTTCGCTTTTTTGTCATAACTGTTAAGTAATAGTAAGAAACTTCGACCACCACGTCATTTTTAAATTCAATATCTCCTACACCTTACATGGAACATTCCTCAATGTTTTAGAGAATATAGTTCATGTCTCACTCTTTAATAAAAGTCCTGAGTGCTTTGCTGGCAAAATGGTCAACGTGTTGTAAAACTTATCCTAGTAATTATTAACTTGCATTGAGAGTGGTGCCGAATCCGATAATTTGCTAGAAGAGTAAAAGTCATTTTTCTTGGTTTCTGCAAGAGCTGGGAAGCTAGAAAAGACAGCTTTTCACGTAACTTGATGATCTCTGTGAAACTAAATTGGTTTTAAATGAATATCAGCAGGTTGCTGTAATATTACAGTTTTTTTTCTTCCTTATGATTGGCTTATCCATGGAATATCTGACAGCCATTTTTCCGTATTTTGCGCACAAACAGACAGGCAGAGGCCTCATGCACACTACAAAATTTTTCAGAGTTAACTTCGATAGCGTTCAGATCTAAATCTTTCATAGACCACTAAGATTTTGACAGTTCTTCTAAAATTGTGCTGCTTCTTGGCTTCAGTACTCGCAAAGCCTTGCTAACAGCCGACCAGTTTGAATTGGCGTTTTACAGTTGCCTTTCTAAGCTCAAGCAGAAAAATTGAGTAGGTGTTTGTTTCGGCACAGAATTGGCGCTACCTCCGTTGTCTAACAGAACCATATTACTCAAAAAACCGAAATTTGTCCGGAAAGATAAGGTTCGTCATCTAATGTCAATCTAAAAAATTTTTTCGAGACCTTCCGAAGATTCTCAGAGTTCTAAAAATATTCCTGGATTTAAGACAATGTTCACACCTCCCTTCGGGTGGCGTTCGCAGTCAGTTAGCTGAAAAATCTTGTGAACTTCTCTGACTGCACCGGAAAAGCGTGCGATGTCATATACAGCTAAAACATTTTCTGAACACCCTCTGAAGATCTCAGAGGTGGCTGAAAGCAGGGCCGCAAATAGCAGCCAAACATTAGGGCGTTGTAAAATAAATTTTCTCTCTGAGGTAGTGCAAAATTGCTAAAAAAATTTGTGCGAAGAATAACTGATAAAATAACAATAGCTGTTTCAATTATTTTTGCGCACTCTTCCACACCCTCCTGTTATTTGTGTCCCTGGCTGGAAGTATTTCTGATCGATTCCCTCTTATAGATTATCTATATTCTGTAAGTTTTGATGCTCCAATCATACCTCTTCTTTTTCTTATTATGTAAAGTATAATGATATCTCATTTATATTTGTATATTTTATCGCTATTCGAATCCATCTTAACAAATAAACGAACGAATTTTTATCTCTCTATACATTTATCTTAATAGGAAGATGACAGGTGCAAAAGTTAAGGAAGCCGACCTTAAGAGCGAACGTAGAAGAATTTGAACTTAGTGAGAGAGCAAACTCACTCATCGTAAAGATATTTAAATTGTTAACAAGTTATTGGTCTTTGCTTTATAGATATATATCATTCGTTAAGCCGATTATCATCATGGCGACTCTAGTACGCATGTACAATAGCTTAACTCGGAAGAAGACGTACAATGCAGAAGCATTACATACATCACAACTAAAACGTTGTTTAACAGTATTTGATCTCACTATATTAGGTAAATCTCTCTCATCCAGATGACGTTCAAGTAATCCAAAATTCTATTTCTTTCTTTTTTTCTAGGTATTGGATCTACATTAGGCACTGGGTAGGGGAAGAAGAGCTAATGTTGTGAAACTTTGTTAATAAAAATAAAAAAATATCTTTTTAGTACATATATTCTCACGGGTCAGGTCGCTCAGAACAAAGCTGGCCCTGCAGTAATCATAAGTTTTTTGATCGCTGCTGTGGCTTCCATTCTTGCAGGTAATGTTTATTGCTTCTATCTTTTTGAAAATAATTCATTTATTTTTGTTTCAGGTTTATGTTATGCAGAATTTGGAGCGCGTGCTCCACGAGCAGGAAGCGCTTATACTTATACCTATGGTAAGTATTTGTGTGTTGTCGAAATTCTATCTTACGCTAAATAGACAATATTTTTGTTTTTCTACTTGTAGTTTCCGTCGGTGAGATTATGGCTTTTATAATTGGATGGAATATGGTAAGTGAAAAATATAAACTGATTCATTTTTCAGAATTCCGACTTATGATAGTTTTACATTCTTTTCTATAGATTTTGGAATACGTCATAGGTAATATTACAGATCTACTTAGCAAATGTTTTTCTGATTGTAACATGCATATGATATTCTTAATTTAGGAGCTGCGAGTACAGCAAAAGGTAAAAGTTTTTCTAATAGTTTTTCCATTGTTAATAATTTCTTTTCTTTCATTTGTTTTTAGCTTTTAGTACATACTTTGACACCTTAATTGGCAATGCAATGAGTAAAGCTTTTACAGCTCATTTGAAAATCAATATTTATGGCTTGTCCGCATATGCAGATATATTTGCTATGGGTTTATGTTTGTTATTGACAGGTATATTACCGAAATGATATTTAGACACATTACTAGTATATTTTATACTCGTTTTTCTCTAGTTTTGCTTGTACTTGGTATTAAAGAATCGGCGATACTAAATAACGCTTTTACATTTATTAATTTATTAGTTATTCTAATTGTAATTATTGCCGGTTTGACTAAAGCTAATTTTCATAACTGGAATTTATCTCCTAAAGAAGTATGTTAGACTTGTTCCTTTTATATTATTCTATTTTCAATCGTTTGTACTTGTTCAGATCTACAATGTATCACATTACAATGGCACTGCTGGAACAGGAGGCTTTTTTCCATTTGGTTTTTCGGGAGTAGTGAAAGGTGCTGCAATGTGTTTCTACGCATTCGTAGGGTTTGATTTAGTTGCTACGACAGGTATGCACAATGCACGTCATTCTCTCTATACTTGAAAATTTAGTCCGAAAAGGTATCGAGAAAGTTTTACGCCAAACATTTAAATTTCTTATTTCTTCTGTAGGTGAAGAGACAAAGAATCCGCAGAAAGCCATTCCAATCAGTATCTGCTTAACCTTGTTGGTTTGTCTATTTCTTTATTGTAGTGTGTCCGCTGTTATCACTTTAATGGTATGAAATATGAAATACTTTTGTAAAATACTTTAAAATAACGATATTTTTGTCTTCTTTTTGAGAGGTTCCCTACTATTTAATTGATAAAAATGCGGGTCTACCAGCGGCTTTTGCTTATGTTCATTTGCCTGTTTTCAAATACATTCTTGGAGTTGGCGCACTTGCCGGTAAATTATTTTCATAGTTTACGTATAAATAAACTACTTTAAAGTTTTCATCTTATATTCATAGGGATATTTACATCGTTACTTGGTTCATTACTTCCATTGCCACGTGTACTCTATGCAATAGCCAGTGATGGACTCATATTTCGTTTTATTGCATGGATTCATCCGAGGTTCGAAATGAATTTGTCTTAATAAATGTATTGTTCTATTCTTTCTTTTTCTTAACATAGGTTTCAGACGCCCATTATTGCTACAATTGTGGGTGGAATAGCTGCAGGTGAGATTTTTTCTTTCTTGTTATTATGTATATTAGAGTTGAGCTCTGTATTGATTCTGAAAGGTTACTCACTACGGTATTGGTTAAAGCTGTATAAGTATCTTTCTGAGTCTTCTGGGGCACTTGTCTATCAACAAATCTAGACTGCATATCAGATTGCTACCCAGCCAACGAGGGAATGGTATAGAGCGAGTAGTTTCCGACAAAACAGTAAGTTTCTTCGGAGGCCTACAGATAGAGGACACTATGCAAATATAGACATTCTGAACTTCGTAAATATTCAGAAACAGCTACATAGCGTTTATAAAGAAACATCAATACTAGTCCAATTTTTTTGTATACAAATACTTCCACTTACCAACTTAAATGTGTTTTTAATGTGTATTTGTTAAATATAGAACGTTTTGATTTCTGTTGAATTTTATATTACTCTACTTGTTCATTTGTGCGTAATTTAGGATATAATTGAAGAGAGTTTATTATTATTTTTGTTTGTTTTAGGGATTATGGCACTCATATTTGATTTGGAAAATCTTGTAGACATGATGTCTATCGGAACGTTGCTCGCCTACAGTCTTGTATCCATATCCGTCCTATTTCTGCGGTAGGTGAATATAATTATCGATTTACATCTTCGTTCATTAGAATACAGTAGTTATTTCTTTTTAGGTATCAACCAGTTGATGATCCATTGATTCGTTCTGATTATCTTAGTTATAAACCATTATGGCAAGAGCTATTTCGTCCATCACAACGTTATCCAACTGTCTTATCAGCATCCATTGCTAAAATCCTTATTGCTGCATTAAGTACGGATGTTGTTAGCGTTCTTACACATTTACAAAAAGTTTTTTATTTTAGCTATGAACGGTTTTATACTTTGTGCGATTCAAAGATTTGCTAGTAACAAAATTACAGAGAAAGATCCGACGACAATTTTCTTTCTCTCATTATCTGGTTTGTTAGAAATAATATTCTTGATCATGATTGCCATGCAGCCAAAAAATCAAAAATCAATACATTTTGAAGTAAACAGTCTTGCGCTTAAGAGCTCATTTTAAAGAAAATTCTGATTTTTGAGACAAATATGATGCATGACAGAGTGACGTATCCGCTACAAAATAAGACCGCTCCTAGCTCTCTACGACTTTCTGCGAAGGAGAAATGGATTTTTTAAAGTTTCTCAGTTTACTCTAAACAAACACGAATTTTTAACTTTCTTCATCTTTTGCTACATTCCGGCACTTCGAAGTTTTTTCTAATAGTTAGATTATCCCATGAGATTACTCACGAGAGTCTCGTCTGCTAAAATTCTTCGTTTTTCCATTCATTTTGAAAGCTTATGAGTGTCATGTGAACAGATTTCGAGTATTTTTGCTATAACTTTTGGACGATGCTGTATCTGTTGAAAAAAATTAACATTTGGCATCTAAGATACCTGGTTCAACTATCTGTGCTAAAATTTCCAGCACAATCGAATGAAATTTCAGAAAGGCGTAAGCAATGTAGCTTAAAAAGCGAGATTTCTAAAAAACTTCTGAACCTAGATAGTTGGAGAGTTCACGATGGTCTCAAAAAATGCGCAAGAGAGTTTTGCATAGTCTCTGAAAATATAAAGTGGTTATGATTTATAGTTTACGAATAGTGATATTCGCCCCAAAAATCCAAAAAATGAGAGGAGGAATACCTTTATACGGTCTGAAATAGGTTTCACTGAATTTTTATAATTCAAAAATGTTTTACGGACTCTTGAATATGTGCATTTATACTTTCCAATTCTCGTTAGTATATATTCTCTATTAATCGTGTTAAAATGATTTCATCTACATAAAAAAG